GGAAACGTGTCGAATGTTTCCACCCGCCGGGAATCGAACCCGGGCCCTCCGTGTGTGAAGCGGGAGCTTTAGCCACCAGGCCACCGGGCCACCAATTGCAAAGACATACCACATAATACTTCCCGCAAATAGCAGGAAACTCTTAACAGAATAAAGAGCGAGAGAGCTCCAGCACCGAACAAAAAAATTTACAAAAACCAAAAACTCAAAATTTATGTCTGTGTCCACATAAATCCCCCACAACTCTGTACAATTAGACCCCTTGCACAAAGTGCACAGTAAATATTATTTAACATACAAAAATTAAAATTATGCAGAACATTAATTTAAACATTAGGCAAACCAAAGCCTACAATAACTTACATTGGTACATATCACAATGAAACTCCCCACAAAAACCTGGGCAGGAAACACCCTCGAGTAAAAGACATAACATTATATATGAAAGTACAACCCATACAACAAACAAATTCCTAACATAAGGTTCAAAACTGTCTAGTTACAGGACCATAAAAACTTACCCCTATTTGAAACACTAGTCATCTTTGGGCTGAATTTTTTTTTTTTTATATAAACAGTCTAAAAGATAATATATAAACAAATAATTAGCTTTATAATTATAATTCTCATTGCCTAAAGACTCGCCGCACTTACTTCGTGCCGGCACATACAAACCCCCCCCCCCCCCCTTTTCCCTATTATCAATGCTATTTACTGAGCGTTTCATGGGAATAAAAAAATTCCCATGCACATACATTAGTCACAATTAAAAATATTGACATACAAGTTCGTACATGTTCCATCCTTATTTTTTTCCCCAATAACACCATTGAACAAAACCAGTTAACAATCTCACGAAACCCCATTAAGGGCATCGCACAATAAAATTGTCCACTCCTAACCTAATACCTCACTATTCATTATAATTCATAAAACATTACATATCCCATGATTAGGTACATAGAAAAAGGTGTCATTATATGTGATAAAAAAATTGACTAAGCCAAAGATCATGATTTCTTTAATAAACATAGCAGAAAATTTTTCCCAAAAAGCAACTTTTGCAGGGTCACGCACTTCACAAACATAAGTTATACAACATCAAGTTAACTTGTGTGCTATCTTAACATCATTCTGCTCTAAACCCCGAGATCCCAAGGTTTAGTATCATGGTTTTAAGGTTATCCTGTATGCAGTGACATAACCATAGATTCCAAATCCTCATTCATCCCCCTTCCACTCTATTCAGAACCCTCCCACCATCCAAAACTACAAGAAGCCAAAAAACCAACCCACCCATGTATCCCCCGGTAGGAGACCAACCCTTTGCCCGCCCCCTGGGTTCATGAGGAGGAGACCCCCCCACAGTGAGATTCCGGTAACCCTCCCGAAAGCTAACTACCCACCTCCCCATAGACTTGCCTATTCCTACACATAGTTCTATAAAATCTCGCTGCTAACGCTTTTATCCTCAACTCTCCCCTAACCCCCCTCATCCCCAAGATACATGTAAATAATCCGTCATAACATACATTAAGGTCTACCCACATCACCAGGCACCCCATTTTACATCCAACATTAAGGCCCGTAGGAATGGCCATTGCCCCCCCCCCCAAAAGTCTGATAACTCTCACCATCCATAACCTCACCCCCTCCAAAGAGGGAAAAAAAATATACCGCATGAAAAGCCGTTTCGATGCCCCCACAATGCAAGCATGAGTCCTCTCTCACAAGACCATTTTATATAACACATCCCTAGAGGCCAATATTCCCATCAGAAAAAGATTTTACTAACTCTCGTACCCTCGCTGGTATTCTAAGCAAGCCAAACTTTCCCCCATATGCTTATCCAGTCATATGTTGGATATACAGCAAGTCCCTGTAAGACACCCTTGCCTACCACAGCACCCACCATTCGTTTGACCTTTAACGTGGACACCTGTTTAACATGTAATAAAACCCTCAAAAATATCCTCACAATACCCCAAATCCCTTCCCCACCACCATCTTCGTGCATCCTCCATTACCCCACCTACCCTGACTCCTCTGTCCCCCAGTCCGGATATATCTTTGTTTAATATATAAAGTCATTACTCTATGACCCAATGGACATCAGGCCAAGACCCCCACGTCTCCCCTCCGTCATCACCACGTCCTTGCTCAACCATGCCCTCCCAAACCCCCACCCAATACCTTAGAACCTTCCTTGGATTTCTGCAATATCCTCTGCTCTTAAAGGGAACACCTCAGCCACTCCCCACACCTTACTGTAAACCAGAGAGTTGACCACTAAAAAATCTCTGCTGTAATGTTACGTCCCTAGCCCTTAAGCCTCCTAGCCTACCCACAAACCCTGCTCGTAACTAATTCCGAATTTATCTTCCTACTCTCCTGCACTTCCGCCATGTACCATATTCCACAAACCTTAATTCTGTCCACTACTGACCATCCCAACCCCTCCCCCAATCCCTCCCACCCAATCCCCCCCCCTCTAATAGTCTCGAAATTCATTAAATTAACTCTCATACCCGTGGGGTCCCCAAAAATCTGAATGATTCCAACAAACTTTCCTTAGATCTTCCTCATGCCTTACCAGCACAGTAGTATCATCTACGTACCCCCACAAAACCCCCCCGCCCCACCCCCCCCCTATCCCATGTTCCATTTATCACCTCATCCACCAGCCCAGAAAATGGATTCTGTACGCAGGCAAACAATAACTGAGAGAGTGGACAGCCCTGCCTCAAACCTCCCCTCATCCCGTACTGGGTCCCCCAACTTACCATAACCTGTACCCAAACAACTGCTCCCCATCAAGGTTTGCACCCATCTCACCACCTTCTCCCCCAAACCCAACTGTTCCAAAAAAACTTTTTCAAGAAAATCCCTATTCACACAATCATACGCATTAGCCCAATCTAATCCAAGTATCCCCCTCCGGTGCAAATCCTCAATAAAATCCCTTATGTGACTATGCCCGTCCCCCATACTTCTTCCCGGAATGCCAAACTGTCCCCCATGTACCACTGATCCTAGAACCTTCTTCAGTCTATTTGCCCAGAATTTTAGCAATAAATTTTATAATCTGCACACATTAAGGATATTGCTCTATAATCATTCAATACTTTCTCATCCCTTTTTCTTCGGCACCAACACAACGATCCCTGTTTTCTGGGTCTTTCCCCCCTCCTCCCACTGCTCATCCCTATGATTCAAGACTTCCATAACCCATAAACCCAATGCATTCCCAATAAACTCTATAAAAATCATTCGGTATTCCAAACATGCCCGGCGTCTTACCCTGACTCATCCCCTAAACCGCCTCCCCCACCTCCCCCTCACTAATACTACCCTCCAGCATTTCCCGTTCCTCTTGTCCCAATACAATAGTATTCTGCATAACCCCAAATACCTCCTCACTGCAACTTCTTGTTCCTCCTCCATTTCTCCCTAAACCAAAATCAGCATAACCACTAATATAATCTGTATCAGTAAGACCTTGACCCACCACATAACCCCCCCCCCCATCAGCGACCACTAGATGCGCTATGGTAGTCCCATCTGCCTTTCCCTAAATTTTCTCCCGGAAATAACCTGATGGTCGATCACCCTTTAACACCCCCAATCAGCTATCAAAACTTTGAGGCCCAGTCCCTGGACCCATTATGTACCTCTGTAATCTTTTGACTACCGCCCACAGGATGGGTAGGGTACATAATAAACATATTAAACTAACTAACTCCCTGTGGAACTCCCGTATCAAGTGGCTGTGTTGTTGATGCTGTGTCTTTAATGGTAACAAATGATACTATTAGTAAGGTAAGATTTGAAATAAGCAAGCGCATGGCCTCTTATACCATAATGATCAAGTTTGTGGAGTAGGATTTTCGTGGTCTACTGTGTCAAAGCTTTTTTAGGTCAATAAAAATTCCTAGTGGATATTCCTTATTTTCCAATGCTGTGTAAAGCAGATCTAGCATTTTTATGATTGCATCATTAATGGAACAGACTGCCTGTACATGTCAGTCATAGCATGAACCAGTTCAAGAAGACTGACAAAAGTTGTCTGATGAATGTAGTGACAGAAAGGGAGGGAATATTTTTTATTTTTTTAGCTAACACAAGTGTAAATATAAATAACTCTTTTTTTACCTTATTCTAGTAGATATCCTTTATAATATAATAATAAGATATTATTTTCTTTATAATATAATATTAAGATATTATCTTCTTTTAATATAATATTAAGATATTATCTTCTTTATAATATAATATTAAGATATTATTTTCTTTATAGTAAAATATTAAGATATTATTTTCTTTATAATATAAAATTAAGATATTATCTTCTTTATAATATAATATTAAGATATTATTTTCTTTATAATAAATATTAAGATATTATTTTCTTTATAATATAATATTAAGATATTATCTTCTTTATAATATAATATTAAGATATTATCTTCTTTATAATATAATATTAAGATATTATCTTCTTTATAGTATAATATATTAAAGGATAACAATGGAAATAAGTCACTTTGGGTTATCCCAGGTTCTCTACACATATATTATTATGTATGATAATTTATGTAATTATATTTGTGTATACCTGAATAAACTTACATACTTATTATTATTATTGACATTATTATTATTATTATTATTATTATTATTATTATTATTATTATTATTGTTATTATTTAAACGTTAATTATTTGGGAGTATTTTTTTAGCTGTGCTGATTGGCTGGCTGATGCAAGATGAACTGTGATTGGCCAAGGTTTAAGAACCAGAGCTCTGATTGGCTGCTTGAACGGGAGGCTGCGCTCTGATTGGTCAGCGCTGCGTCCAGGCAGACAGACTACACAGTTTAAAACGTTAAGTTCCACACTGGACGTGTGATGGCTTCTCTTACGTGTTTTTAAGGTCAGTTTTATACCAACACTCTTATTAAGAGTGTTATAATACACTTATTAAGAGTGTTATAACACACTTATTGAAGGAGAATGTTATAATACACTTATTGAAGGAGAAGAGTTACAGTGTGATGGCTTCTCTTACGTGTTTGTAAGGTCAGTTTTATACCTACACTCTTATTAAAAGTGTTATAATACACTTATTAAGAGTGTTATAATACACTTATTGAAGGAGAATGTTATAATGCACTTATTGAAGGAGAAGAGTTACAGTGTGATGGCTTCTCTTACGTGTTTGTAAGGTCAGTTTTATACCTACACTCTTATTAAGAGTGTTATAATACACTTATTGAAGGAGAATGTTATAATACACTTATTAAGAGTGTTATAATACACTTATTGAAAGAGAAGAGTTAGTGTATTATATGAAAAGTTCTGGTGCAAGTTTATTGTTGTGCAAGTTTATTGTTGTGCAGGTTTATTGTTGTGCAGGTTTATTGTTGTGCAGGTTTATTGTTGTGCAGGTTTATTGTTGTGCAGGTTTATTGTTGTGCAAGTGTATTTTTGAAGTTTATTGTTGTGCAAGTTTATTGTTGTGCAAGTTTATTGTTGTGCAAGTTTATTGTTGTGCAAGTTTATTGTTGTGCAAGTTTATTGTTGTGCAAGTTTATTGTTTGTTGCAAGTTTATTGTTGTGCAAGTTTATGTTGTGCAAGTTTATTGTTGTGCAAGTTTATTGTTGTGCAAGTTTATTGTTGTGCAGTTATTGTTGTGCAAGTTTTATTGTTGTGCAAGGGTTTTTTGTTGTGCAAGTTTGGTGCAATATTGTTGTGCAAGTTTAATTGTTGTGCAAGTTTATTGTTGTGCAAGTTTATTGTTGTGCAGTTATTGTTGTGCAAGTTTATTGTTGTGCAAGTTTATTGTTGTGCAAGTTTATTGTTGTGCAAGGTTTTTTGTTGTGCAAGTTTATTGTTGTGCAAGTTTATTTTTGTGCAAGTTTATTGTTGTGCAAGTTTATTGTTGTGCAAATTTATTTTTGTGAAATTTATTGTTGTGCAAGTTTATTGTTGTGCAAGTTTATTGTTGTGCAAGTTTATTGTTGTGCAAGTTTTTTTGTTGTGGCAAGTTTATTGTTGTGCAAGTTTATTGTTGTGCAAGTTTATTGTTGTGCAAGTTTATTGTTGTGCAAGTTTATTGTGTGCAAGTTTATTGTTGTGCAAGTTTATTGTTGTGCAAATTTATTGGGTTTTGCAAGTTTATTGTTGTGCAAGTTTATTGTTGTGCAAATTTTTGTTGTGCAAGTTTATTGTGTGCAAGTTTATTGTTGTGCAAGTTTATTGTTGTGCAAGTTTATTGTTGTGCAAGTTTATTGTTGTGCAAGTTTATTGTTGTGCAAGTTTATTGTTGTGCAAGTTTATTGTTGTGCAAGTTTATTGTTGTGCAAGTTTATTGTTGTGCAAGTTTATTGTTGTGCAAGTTTATTGTTTGTGCAAGTTTATTGTTGTGCAAGTTTATTGTTGTGCAAGTTTATTGTTGTGCAAGTTTATTGTTGTGCAAGTTTATTGTTGTGCAAGTTTATTGTTGTGCAAGTTTATTGTTGTGCAAGTTTATTGTTGTGCAAGTTTATTGTTGTGCAAGTTTATTGTTGTGCAAGTTTATTGTTGTGCAAGTTTATTGTTGTGCAAGTTTATTGTTGTGCAAGTTTATTGTTGTGCAAGTTTATTGTTGTGCAAGTTTATTTGTTGTGCAAGTTTATTGTTGTGCAAGTTTATTGTTGTGCAAGTTTATTGTTGTGCAAGTTTATTGTTGTGCAAGTTTTTGTTGTGCAAGTTTATTGTTGTGCAAGTTTATTGTTGTGCAAGTTTATTGTTGTGCAAGTTTATTGTTGTGCAAGTTTATTGTTGTGCAAGTTTATTGTTGTGCAAGTTTATTGTTGTTTTGTGTGGCAAGTTTATTGTTGTGCAAGTTTATTGTTGTGCAAGTTTATTGTTGTGCAAGTTTATTGTTGTGCAAGTTTATTTGTTGTGCAAGTTTATTGTTGTGCAAGTTTATTGTTGTGCAAGTTTTTGGGATTTTTGTTGTGCAAGTTTATTGTTGTGCAAGTTATTGTTGTGCAAGTTTATTGTTGTGCAAGTTATGTTGTGCAAGTTTATTGTTGTGCAAGTTTATTGTTGTGCAAGTTTATTGATGTGCAGTTTATGTTGTGCAAGTTTATTGTTGTGCAAGTTTATTTGTTGTGCAAGTTTATTGTTGTGCAAGTTTATTGTTGTGCAAGTTTTTTGTTGTGCAAGTTTATTGTTGTGCAAGTTTATTGTTGTGCAAGTTTATTGTTGTGCAAGTTTATTGTTGTGCAAGTTTATTGTTGTGCAAGTTTATTGTTGTGCAAGTTTATTGTTGTGCAAGTTTATTGTTGTGCAAGTTTATTGTTGTGCAAGTTTATTGTTGTGCAAGTTTATTGTTGTGCAAGTTTTTTGTTGTGCAAGTTTTTTTAATTGTTGTGCAAGTTTATTGTTGTGCAAGTTTATTGTTGTATTTGGCAAGTTTATTGTTGTGCAAGTTTATTGTTGTGCAAGTTTATTGTTGTGCAAGTTTATTGTTGTGCAAGTTTATTGTTGTGCAAGTTTATTGTTGTGCAAGTTTATTGTTGTGCAAGTTTTTTTGTTGTGCAAGTTTATTGTTGTGCAAGTTTATTGTTGTGCAAGTTTATTGTTGTGCAAGTTTATTGTTGTGCAAGTTTATTGTTGTGCAAGTTTATTGTTGTGCAAGTTTATTCAGGTAGAGTTACACTTAAATAGTTACATAAATTATCATAAAGAGAAGTATATACATAGATTATGAAGGTTAAAGTGTTAAGTCAAAATAAGTTCCACTTGTATCCTTGGTGGTGATGAACTTGATTTACTCTTGTTATTACAAGTTAAAATAGAAGTTTGTTTCAGCATGATGTAAAGTTTGTACAGAGATGGATGACATTTAAGTGTGCATGCAGAAAGACCATTATTATGTACAGCATTTCAGGCCACATTAAGACTAATAAGGCAAGAACCCCAATAATAATAATTATATTACATTATATATGTACTACAAGAACATTTACAAGGTCTACAGTCCTGGCTGACATCACTCATATACTACTACATAGAAAGTCGCTTGTTATGCTGAGCGTTTCAGGCAAATTAGGTGAATTGAATTATGTCCCAGGATGCAACCCACACCAGTCGACTAACACCTAGGTACCCATTATTACTGATGGGTGAACAGGGACAGATCTCTCGTGGAAACACATCCTAATATTTTCCAGCCTTGCCGGGGGATCAATCCCCAGACCGCAGTGTATGAGCTGAGTGCGCTAGCAATTGACGTATAGGACAATGGAACTAAGTCGCTGACTTTTTTGGGTTATCCTGGCAATCTACATATAAGCTGCTATGTACGATGGTCTATGTACCTGTATTTGTGTGTATTTGTACCTGAATAAAAACTTACCAAGATATGAGGACCTGTGGCATAGCGTTTTGTTAAAATTGAGACTCTTCATCAACATGTGGTTTTTTAAATCACTCAAATTGTCAGACACAACATCTTGGGATCTTGCTGCAATAAATTCTTCAAAGCTTACCTAACCTATATAGGCATGACCTACTTCCACTCGTGGGGCTTTCCACGGGTAATTCTGCCTATCACTTCATTTCATCTGACTGCAGTATATAAGCCCTGTCTTGTTTTATCATATCCCTGTGAATATGCTGCTCTTTGGTCAAGTGATAGACTGAACATAATTCCAGGCTGAGGGACTGACTACCTCACACTCAGCCTCCACCATTCTTTGGACTGGACTGAAGAAGCTACTGGCTGGTGAACATTACCAGAGTAAATATGCACAAGTGTTACACAATTGATTGTAATAATAATAATAACAAATGTTGCACAAGTGTCTCATTTATCAACTTGTCACTTTTCTAAAGAATTCAGATGCTAAGAGTATGTCCTGTGGCTTGGTTAATAGCACACTCATCACACACTGAGTGCCTGTGGTTCAATCCCCAGTGCAGGTGGAAATGTTGGGCAAGTTTCTTCATGCCTACTGCTCCTGTTTGCCTATCAGTAAATAGGTACTTGGGTAGTGTTAGTCATCTGGTGTGGGTTGTATCCTGGGGGACAAGATTAAAGAACCATAATAAGTCATCCTGGGAGCTTAACCCCTAGTTAAAAATCCCAACTAAATCTTTTGAGCTTGTTCTTTCATCCTTATGGCATCTACACCAGGAGCAATGCTGCATGCACAGGTGCAAGGTGTATCTCAGTATATATGTATAACCCTCTCAAGTATGACTTCCCTAATAGTATATATTCCTTGATGTATTAGACGTGTGCAACATTTGGGTATCCATTTTGTAGATGTTTTGCCAACTATTGATGTCAGTATAACAGGGACATAAACTGAAGATTGTAGAAGAGGACGTAATCCTCTTCTACAATCTTCAGTTTATCCTTGTACTGATAAATGTCACTGGTTGGCAAGCATCTACAAATAGATACCTAGATGTTGCAAGTGTCTAATACATAAACTTCTTGGTGTTGTCTACTACTGATGTAATAACTATATTCCTTGGCTCCCAGTGGAAATAAATTGCATTGTTTGCCTTGATTGGCTTATCTTAGGTTAAATCTACAAATTGTACTTTATTCTTATGTAATGTCAAAAAGAATTTGTTTGGATTATTATTCCAGAAGATTAGTAATCCAGGGTAATCCAATAATCAGGGTGTCATCCAGAACTGGCCTATTTCAATTAGGGTCCTTAACCTATTCACCCAATAAGGAATATCCACTAGGAATTTTTATTGACCTAAGAAAAGCTTTTGACACAGTAAACCATGAAATCCTACTCCACAAACTTGACCACTACGGTATAAGAGGCCATGCGCTTGCTTATTTCAAATCTTACATTACTAATAGGTATCAGTACGTCACCATTAAAGACACAGCATCAGCAACACGGCCACTTGATACTGGAGTTCCACAGGGAAGTGTCCTTGGTCCCCTGCTCTTCCTCATATACATCAATGACCTACCAAACGTATCCCAACACCTAAAACCCATTCTCTTTGCTGATGACACGACTTATGTCATCTCTCACCCTAATCTTGCCACCCT